TTGTCAACGTCAGTAGTGAACATGATCGAAGCGGTAGCATTCTGTTCTTTGCCCAGCTGTACGTCGCACTGATACTGAAGCCAGTGGCTATTCGTGAGGCAGAATCCGCCGGCCGGCAAAGCTTCTGTACTTTGGACATGAGTGCTGCATACGGACGGCTTCCACTTGACGGTTGAGTTGATCTTCAACGGATAATACTTCCGGTACAGCGAGGACATCATTTCTTTTTCACTGGACGGACTCGGTACTGATTCGTCGAATACTCCATACCTGAACTGGGCCCACTTTTGCAATAGCTTCTTTCCTAATTGTAGAAGTCTCATTAGGCATGCGTTAGCAGCCTCACGAGTAGGTCTGTTGAGGTCTGTTGTCATTTGAGAAAATGATGACTTTTCTGTCTTCTCTGATTATGAAACACCTTTCACAGAAGTGATACGAGAAAGTCTCGAACGCTTTTAAGACTTCGAAATAGGCTTTCAAATCAAAGGTTTCAAATCAGAGATTTTAAATCTCAAGCAGGCTACTCCTGAGATGTGGGAGTAAGATTTTGCCTTTACATACAGTGGCGTATTGGCACTAAGATATCTAAGAGGTCTGTAAGGAACTCCGGATGTGTTGCGTTCGATTCCGTTCGAACACAATCTTTGACTTATTCACGGATTGCCTTGAGCAAGGAAGTTAGCACACATTTCTTCAGATTGAGGTTGTTTAGAACTGGCAGGTCCCGAGTTCAAGCCCAAGTCGGATCACTCGCATCACTCGTCCTTCTTCCTGCCCAGGTTAATAAACGAGTTCCACTCGGTGGAAAGAAAATAAGAGACTATACCACGCTACGCTTGCCACGTGGCTGTAGACTTTGCTTTTAAAATAAGGCATTCCTCGCTGATGACATAGAATGGATATCGGCACCGCACCATCAACTTCGTGAAAAGAAGTACTCCAAATGGCTCAGTTATGAAAGGGTAGGAAGACCGAGGTTCCGTTGACCAGCTGTTCCTTATTTTACCTCTAAATTAAAATGGAACTTGTACTTTGTTTCATTGTTGAAGATGGACTGCGGATGAACACTGTTTCCTTATGAGGATTGAGCCCTAATTCTCTATCCGAGTTAAAGTTCATCAACCGTTATTGCCGCAATATTGCTGTAACCCATTTTTTTGAACAGTGCTGCCTGCGGTAAGCAGTTTGACCGACGTCTTCTTTTGAATACAGTCTCTGTTAGTGACTTGTTATACTTTGTTAATAATTTGCCATTATTTTTTTCACCTCATAATCACGTTGTCGCTGTAGCGGTAGAGTTGCACGCTTCACTTATCATCAAGCCACAAGAGTGAACCCTGCGCTGTCCTGGAAGCGGGCATATATCTTTTATGATTCGATGTATTGCAGCAGCTAAGACATGAAATATCGTTTTTCGATATCTCTGTGACGTCATGGAATGGATTAAGATGCCAGTGGCCTCGAACGTGTTGTTTTTTTTTAAATTTGGATTTACGTAATTTGCAGTTTTCTTAGTTATCTATAAAGTGCATCAAGGCGACTTACAGCCGGAAGACGCACGCATCATGCAGCAAAGCCGTATGTCTTGTACGCTATGGCATGGCTATACCAAAACAAGTTATTGTTAATTCCTGTGACCTGACTTCGGATGGTTGCATTCTTTGTTCAAGAGAATTGGCCGTTGAAAAAATTCACCTCTTAAATGCCAAGCACTGTCTTAATCCAATGCGCAGCTGTGCCTTATATCATATTTAAACATTTCTTTTTTGCCTCACTGCAATATTCCTCTTTGAACTAGCTTTATAACGATGATATCAGTGCATTTCCAAATCTTCATGGATAGTATGTTCTTTTTTTGCAACTTCTGCTCATAATTTGCTTGTTGGCTCTTCTTGATGGCTTTGTCTCTGAGGTTAGTAGGAAATATTTTGCGAAAACAGAGTCAAGATAGGGTATACGTTTCGAATGATCAAAGAAAAAGGCTTTCAATCGTTGGAATGTCGGTACCCCCAATCATTTTCATATTTTGACACATCCTTGCTTCTATTGCGTCTGTGAAGTGGATTGAACTTCGTCAAGATGACATCAGCCGAGCTTTTGAAGATACTGTCTGCAAATCACTAGCGCGTCGTAGTTGTCTCGTGCCACTGACAGTGAAGGACTGCTTGACGTATGAATCATAAGCGTGCATATTTGTAATCGAAAGCTCCTTGAGCTTTTTGCGAAATTTCACGGTTAGAAGGCCGGCGTAGAAATCCCGCACTTTTGTACTGAACGTCCCTTTGATCTCAATCGTCATTATTCCATATCTTTGTCGATATGCCGCAATCTGCTAACTGATCCGCTTGCCCATCTTGCCAACCTTGCTGACTTGTTTCTCTCGCGGTTCCCCTGTCTCCCTTAGTAGCCAAGCTACCGGGCAGGTCGGATGTAAACTAAATCGACTCTCAGTCCTGACTCCTCCTCATTTCCACAGCAAATCCTCCATCTGGAAGCCAAGTTAGTGGTGCTTCCGTCAATGACAGCCTTTTTACTCGATTCGTCAAGTTTGGATACTTCGTACCTCTTCTCTCCCGGAAGATCGCTTCCGTACAGCTTTAGCGACGTACATCCTTTGTCTACGTCTTCGTTTGGCTCTGCGTGAAAGTGAATCCTGCTCAGAAGGAATGCGGAGGTCTGCTGACCCTGTCTGCTATGGCACTTTTAATGTGTATAATATCTTAATAGCTACAGATGTCATAAGGCAATACATGCAAAAATCCTTCAGGGTATGCCTACTGTTGTTATTGTTGTACTTTTTTTATGTAACCCAGATGATACTGCTGTTCATAGTGCCTATGGTCCTATAATTTGATGCCTTGGAATGTGGCTCTAGAAAAAAGAAGTTAATTATCGCTATTCAAAAAAACGATAGTTCGATATCTTTCTCCATATTTAGTTGAACTGCAGATTGTTCTGAATGTATTTTCACTTTTTTGCATCTGAAATTGATTGGAACTATGTCTCGATAAGTACTTTTTAATGAGAATTCATAGATGAGAAATAGAAGCTATAGATGGTTCACTGAAGGATCCTTGATTCGTTCCGTGAAGGCATAAAACATGTGGAAAGATTTGAGCGACAAGCAACATTTGGCCAATTTGATTGATGTTCTGATGTCAGCCGTGGTTATAATATTATAAATAAATCTATATGTCTACATCTACTGGTTTAAGCAGCAGCTGCGTTCCTCAAAAGTTGAGGTGTCGACAAACTGCGACTATTTCAAACCGTGACGAATATCTGCAGAAAAAAGCAGTCTTTAATCGTCAGGATATCAGTCTTCCTTACAGTTTCATGACTGGGTGGTATGTTTGACACTTTTCCTGTACAGCTGATGGCGCATAAACCGAATGGTAATTCTTGACAATCTGTCCAGAGCGTTTTGGTCTGTTTGCTTATATCCGCAATTAATGCGTAGTTTCCTGTTTTTCTGCCAAGTGCTACTCGATTGTCTATCTGGAAACGAAGAATGGCTCGTCGCCTAACCAAGACTCGGACCAGATTCTCCTTACTGTGAGTGTGATGTTTGAGGAGTGAGGAAAATCGAAGGAAGCGACATGTGATAAAAGGCTTTCTTTCAGCGACAAGAACGAATCTGACATTTACCTGAAAGTCGACTATTCTGGCCGAAAAAGCTTTGGTCGATGGAGATTCTGCTTCCCGCGGCTCCGCAGCCGAAAAGTTGTTCGACAGAGATGCCGAATGGTGATCGTGTCCTGTCGTCGTAGACTTCGATGTCGGCATCGTCCACCGACAGACACGTTTCAGACTTGGTACCGAACGTATCCCAGTTGCTGGGGATAACGATTCGAACAGACCGGATGGACGCCCAGCCGTGTGTGGCCTCCAGTAACGCGGTCGAAAAGGCGCTGATTTCCGCCTGCGAATCACAAGGAAGTTCAGGCTTGAAAATATGGTCGATCGCACATCAAAACTCACCTTGATCTTGGATATCAACTTGTGCGGTTTTGCGCTGTCCCCAATGGACACGGCGATGACCACGTTTTCGTACCCGTTGTTGCTGAACAGGATTTTCGTGCGGCCAACGGAAAGAAAGCACACAGCTAGAAGCCATCTGAGGGTGTCCATGGCCTTGGTTTACTCTGCACTGTCAAGCCGTAGACAGAGCTGTTGCCGAAAGCCTGGCACTTATCGAAAAGAGTGATAAAAGTAACTGGTAATGGGGGCGATTGGCTGCCATGCGATCGTAGCGAAACTGTCGTGACAACGAAGGTGTCTGGCTGGCTTTCTGAAGTTCGACATTGCGTTGCGAACTTCCGTTAGAATTTAGTAAGTATTTCACGCGTTTGTGGTCTTACCATATACATGTGAAAGGAAATATTCGTTTAAAGCATTGTCACTAATTCCCGGTGATTATGCAATACGTAGGCCGAATCCTTCATACGGTATTCCAGGGTTCTCCTTCAGCAGGACGATTTCTCTCGCACATTCATTAGACTGGTCATCCGTAAGGATTCGCATTGGTTCTGTTGAGGAAGAATGCTGAAATACTAGGAACATTTCGTGTTTTCGATTACGGCTCCGCTGTTCCAATTGCGGCGAATATGGAAATCGATGGTTCGTGAGTCACGGAACCTAGCAAGGCAGACACCGAAGCTCTTATTGTCTAAGCGATTCACAATCACACCGGCAAAGCAAACCGCCTGACATAGGCGAAGAATTAGGAACATGAGCAGACCATAAACGGAACATACTGTAAGTAACTCTATGCGCGTAAAGTAGTGAGTCGTGAAACATCTGTCTCTTGCTTCATGTCAGTTGAATAACGCCCCAACTTTAAATCACTGCGTTCGTCACGGAGCACTGTCAAACGTTCGGTATTTTTCTACCATGATATCAGTGGAGTACGATATCTGAAGACCGAGTCTTGAGTGATCTCTGTCGATTGAGGAAACGCTGGCCTGGTTGAAGGAATGTTCGCCCAAAAGGGCGTCTTGGACAGTACCGCAGCTGTCAGGTTGCCCAAGGCGCACAGCGGGTCAGAGTTTTTCGACCCTTACGTTCAACTTTGGATAGGTTCTTACTTCCATAGAGCTTACAGCATTCCTTGCAGTGAGTTTGCAGACGACGTTCGGTGTTGTCTGGAAGAAATCACTTAAACAGAAACATGCCCAGTGTTTTTGCGGTCTCACAATATACCACAAACCTCATTCTGTTATGACTACTTTGAATATCTGATAAGTATGGCATGTGTGGTGGAAATATCATCGGTTCTGCTTCCGGGGTGGGGGAGTTTTCTTTATGAATACTTAGCTAATGCGTTCCTCCAACTCTTTTCTAGAGTATCATCTGGAATATTCGTTTACGTGAACTATGAACCTGCAAAACCGCTTTCACAGAAATGTGATAGCTGCACTATGTATTTGGGAAGAAACGATATTCCTGGAACACATATTTCAACTACATGTCGAAGAAACCTGAAAAATGTATGTCTGAAAATACTTCATCTTCGGATATATCAGAGAAATCGTCCCAAGGCAGGCTGATGGCAATTCTACCGTATACTACGAGTACCTGAGCCAACCAAACATGCCTCATCGACATGCTGCTTGCGGCCTACTATGAAACTAACACAGCATTGGGTATGCTCCTGTTTCAGAGACACCTTGCTAGCAAGCCTGAAGAGGTGCTCGGCGTCGTCTGCTAAGTCTCTTGCCTGCAAGGACTGCAAATAGACCTACATTGAGAAGACTTACCGGCAGAGTGACGTACTAATCAAAGTGCACTTAATCTTGATATTTTCCTCGAACAGACTAACTGCTCTAGCATTGCCCAAAACGCCATTTCGGACCGGCATTTTTTTCAGCCAAGCGGGCGATTCCATATTCTACAGAAATCAATAAACACTAAGACTTGTGATAAAGGGTTCTATATAAGAACGCGGAAACACCGAATGTGCGACAGTGCTCAAGTTCGATCTTGAGGAAACGAAAATCGAAGGGAAGATTCGGGTTGTCGTTGTGAATTACTCAATTGTCGATCACGTGCTTCAGTGCTTACACTTGTTTGTAATTCGTTCTCTTTGAGGTCTGCCGTTCAAAATCTTTCATATTCATATGGCAGCTTGTTGCTGGCCTTATCGTGAGTGCTCTGGCAATGCATCCGGTGAACTCGCGAAACGAGGAGACAGTTAGAGCCTTTGCATTTGCCTCGTTTAATGTCTTGAACCATGGATCATTGTATTCGTTGTGATTTCAGCAGAGAACCGGGCATGAGGGCCTGCTGACACAATAGCTTTAAATTCGCCTGAGGTGTCAGATTCAATTCCGCTGACCCGTTCTTTATTTCAGCAGCAAGTTCACACGAAAACAATTGACCTCACGTTGCTTCGGCGCAAGGACTGTGTAGGAAGTCGTTGATTGACGAATAACTACGAAGTACCGTATTTTGGTCTTGCCATGTCAGAATGGACGAAATATACGGCTGTGCGATGCCTTCCGAGCAGCTGGTGTGGCTGCACTTCTCTTTGACTCAACTTCTAGCTGCCTATCCAGTGCAGTTAATAATCAGCATAAGCTGTTACTCCGAAATGCTGTTACAAAGTTCAGGCTAAATTCGTAAATCATGGGATTCTTGTATAAATGATGACTCTCCTAAGAGAGCTGTTAATCCTATTTTTTTTGTAACTGTGCTTCGACCAATAGAATTTTAGTTCTCAGCA